GCAAGAACTGCTTCTTGGCAAACTTCTTCTTGATCTTATCCAAAATCTCGGGGTGGTCCTGCTTCAACCACTTGAACTGCTGCATCTGGGAGGCGACAAAGACGTACTCGGGGTAGTCGTCGGCAATCTTCAACTGAGTGGTCCAAGAACGCACGATTTTTCTTCTGGTTTCAGCAAAAGGCCACAACCAAGCGGTGTCAATGTGACAATTACCCACGCCAAACACATCGGTCTTCTTCAATGGGTTCTTCTTGAACACCGCATGTGAGTCGACGTCAGAGCCCAAGAACTCCTCGGCAAGCTCTCTACACTTCAACACAGAGGACCTGTCCTCGGGGTCGAAAGCGTCCATGATGTTGTTGGCAATCTGGGCAGCCTGGTACTTGTCTCTGCCGCCTGGCAATTCCCTGGCGGCGTCGCTCAAGATCCAAAAGTCCCAGTACAACTTGCGTGCGTTCAAGTCGGGCCAGACCAAGTCACAGTGGGACAAAGTGTAGTACTTGTTAGGGTCTGGGTGGCCCTGGTCACCGGTGCCAAACATACCGTTGCAGGCAATCTCCAAGTAGAACAATTGCTTGCCAGACTTCTTGTATGTCTTGGGGAGCTTGTAGAGGGTTCTGTCGCCGCCGGTGAACGCCTGCAAAGGCGTACCGTGACTGTCGTAGATAAGGCCCTCGTTGCCACAGTCCCAATGAAAATCGATTTCCTCGACGTCCTTGTTCTTGAGCCAGTGGTCGGGGATCTCCCACTCAATCTTGAACCAGAAGGTTCTCCAGGAAGGCCCGAACGAGTCGCCCTTCTTGGCGTCCTCCCACTCGACCTTCTTCCAGTCAATGTCACGGAAAAGCGGTCTTTCGGTGTTTCCCGGACCGCTGTCGCCAGGAGTCCTCCACACCTTCAACGAGATAGCATCCGAGTTGGAGTCGACTCTTTCGTGGTCGTAGAATTTAGGGAGATTGAGCTGCGGGTACTGTCCGCCCTGGTCAATAAACTGCCTCAACCTGTTCTCATAGATCAGGTCGATGGGCTTGAGTGTGGGCTGGTGGTTATAGCGATCGTAGCCCATGGTGGTGCGGATTGAGAAGTGGGATTCTGGGGTATTTAAGTGCGCCAGGAGGTTGCTGGATAAGCGTGGTGCAGGGACCAGCTAGGTGCCGTCAGACACGGTAGCAAAGAAAAAGTTAAAATGGAGGAGGAATTGGGGCTTTGGAGATCATGTTTTTGGTTTTTGATTTGGAGGAATTGAAGTGGGAGGGTGGGGAACTGGTCTGGTTCACTGGTTGTCTGCGAGATAAGGTGGAGGCTGTGAGAGCAGGAGATAGACGAGGTGATTTACATGGAGAGTACAGAAATTGGAGAATTGAAGGCTTGAGGTTGGGATATGAAAAGAAGAGAATTGTTTGTGTTTAGTTAATCTGTGAATTTAATTGGTGGATCGGTCAATTGGTTGATTGGTGGATTGGCTGGCTGTGGTGCCGAGATCCGGTGGACCACTCGGCACTGAACGGACCATGGACCGATGGGGCCAAACCGGTATTTTCAAAATTATCAGATGAAAGACACTTTTTGTTTTTATCTTGTAATTCGCTTTAAAATATCCTCCATGACCCCTTTGTCGGTTGCTGGTCCACAGCCTGGAGACGGTTGCAAAGTACCCTGCGGGCCGCACGAGCCTCACCCCTGGAGCCACGAGGTCAATAGGGGTTTTTCGAATTTTCTGAATTTTCCTAATTTCGTGATCTCCTGAGGAAGAGGCGTTTTTGCAACACCCTTTTATTCCAATATTTTCTGGCTCTGCCTGATTCATCCCGTTCGGGTTTCGGCGTGCCACACGAGGAGTCCGGGGTGCAGCGGGTGGCCGGATTAGGAAAGGTTATGACGAGATTGGGCAGGCGATAAGAAAAGCGAAGAAGTAGGAGAATTTCGCCGAAGGCAGTGGTGATAAATTGATTTGCTTGAGTTGGAAAGTTGGTTTTTTGTCGGTGTGCCATTGTGGCTATGGGGCTGGCTGTGGTCCGATTGGTGTTTCGCAGCCAGGCACCGATAAGCTTCTGGAGGGGCTTGAGGTGTATGGTCACGATGGCGATAAGGTTTAGATGGAATGTTTGAAGCAGTTGGATACGGGTGTTTTGGATTGTGGCTTGGTTTTGGTGATTTGGCAATTGGGCAATTGGCGAATTGGGGTGGGTTGGCATTGAGGCCGAGACCGGGATTCTCTGGTGGGGTGGTCAAAAGGCGTAGTATAGTCATTTTGTTAAAGTGCGAGATGTAGTGGTATCGAACGAAAAATGCTTCAATGGCTTGGGCTGTTCTCTCTAAATTAGAGTTTCGTGTTTGGTTGACCAATACGGTCGGTCCGTGATCTGGTGGCTTTTCAGCTTATCGGCTGCGAAACAGACTTTAAGCCGTGATCACGAATTGTGGTTGCAAGCCTCACGGTTGTCAACTGGTGGTAGGAGGAAGGAAGCTCTTATAAGTTGAGATATTGTCCTGTGGTTCCCGAGCTCACTGGGTTCGGTCGTCAGGCTGAAAGTCATGGGGAACCATAGACAATACCATAGAGCCTCACTATTGGTCAACTTGAAGAAACCAATCCTCGATATCAAATAAGTCAATTGATGCTAAAGATTAACTCAATAACACAATAAAGGCTGCGATAGCCTATTTCGAAGTCTATGGCTGTTTACGTCTCATCTACACTGGTCCATCCGTGCATTCCCCATGAGCAATAAGCTCCCACCAGGCAGTTGTTCAACCACATCACCTCCAGATAAACACCATCTTCCCTACAATCAACAAAGCCGCTCAAATCATGAAAATATCTGCCTATTCTCAGACTCAATTGGCTTATCAGTTAGTGCGGCTCCGGTCCTCAGCGCGGCGATTGTGGAATATCACAAGATTGTATTATCCGTGATAAGTGGTCTCGATGGTCAATTAGCTTTAGCAGATTCTAAACCAAAGTCTAACGCTACTTGGGTTCGTGGACCCTTGTGACCGTGATAATTAACAAATCCACTTTGATTCGTCGCCATTGAGGCTTAATTCCGCTCCGGTCTTCGTCCAAGGATACTCCCAATAAATCGATCCAATGCTTCAGATAACTGGCTGACCACTTGTCCCAGACCCAATTGCATCATCTACAACATAGTAACCTGGTCAATGGCCAATCACTACCCTCAATGCCGCCCAATGTCTCAATCCAACTCACTAACAACCGTAACAGCAGCTACTACAGCCCTACAACAGCAAAAGTCTTATAGTATATTCAATAGGTCTATCGGCCTGCGCTAGAATCCATGACTTATTTGTCCTGAATCTTAACCTCCTGGTCCTTCTCGACGTTGGCAACGCCCTCGTGGGACTTCAAGGAGCTGATGTGGACGTCTGGCAACTTCGCCACGAAGCCCTTGATCAAGGAGAACTCGCTGAGCACCTCGCCGCCAAACTGGGAAACCTGGTGCTTGACCTTGGAGGCAAGGTCGTCGGAGGCATCCTCCTTCAAGGTAACGATGTATTTGTCTTCGGCCATTTTCAGTAAAAAAGTAGTAGTAGTTGTGGGTGGAATCTCAAAAATGTGAGGCTCCAGGAAGTACTTGCTGCGCGCCGCAGTCCTCTGCTTTTCGCCACCAGGGGATCTTCGCCACTGGGCCAAAAATAGAAAAGAATGGACGGGCCAATGGGTTATTAAGGGCTGCTTTTGGAAGCAGTTTTCAATTTGGTGACTTTTCAACCACATTGTAGCGAGTTTGCCTGAACCCCCTTTGCACCCTAAACTGATGCCTTCGCGCCATGCTCGCGAACTCCACATTTTCCGACACTGGCTTTCCTCACATAATGGGTATATTTGAAACCGCCCACGCAATTGCCGGCAAAATCCGCCGGGCCGGATTCTATCTTTACATTGGAATTGTGTTTGGTCTGCTTGGATGGACGTTTTGGGAGATGCACCGCTTGAACAAGCAGCTAGAGAAGAAGCGAGAGCGGGAGGATCGAGACAGAGAGAACGAGCAACGGAAGCGATTGCACCGCTGAGGCAGGCTGAAGAAAGAAGAAGAGGCCTTTTGCTTTGAGGGAGTTGATGCCCCAGTGCTGGCACTGGGCGAAAGGAGGACGGTGATTGCTTGGTTGAACCAGAATGTACGGCTCGAATCTTCAGAATGGGGTAATTCAATTGGGCTACTTGACTGAGGTTGAATCATTGAGCATGTATTGAGAGCATGGTCTGCGGCTTTTACTGGAAAAGTACCAAAAGTACATATTGATCGAGAAACACTTGAACGTTCTTCTGCCTTGTAAGGTACCTCTCGAGTTGAGACGTTGATGGGTCTAGGGTGGAACTGTTGGCCTTTTGGGGGAGTACCGGTAATAACCAAATTCACAAATGTAAAGCACTTTCTCGTTGGCAATGGTGGTTCTCTTCGACTCAGTGTGCCTCATACTCTATTCAAGCCGTTCGGGGTATCAAGATGGGTATTTAACCGAAAGAGGTCTACGGATTTCATGAAGATGAACGAACTTTCTTATTCTAAAATATGATAATGCATCTTTTCGTGCGTCTCGAACGGTACGTCTCAAAGGGGAAGAACAAGCACTAAAGGACGAGATGCTACCACTGAGACATAATATTTATTTATTGACGATTGCGATACCAGAGCCTCTTTTGCACCAACTGGTATAGACTCCCCAATATAAGCATCCTTCTTTTGTCTGAGGCAAAGCCTTTCAAAGCCCTCCAAAGCCTCTAAGAACCGATGATCATCAACTACGTTAACATCTTCACTCAATTCGTTTGAACCTCTGAGATTCATAATCCCATGAACAGTAGCTCTTATTGACTTTTAGGTAAGATCAAAAAGTACGATTGCCCGGTACTGGGATCCAATGAAATGTGTCAACCTGTCAAGGTGTGCATATCTCTGATAGATATGCGGCTCGCTTTCAATACAACCCCATAGTACTACTACTTCCTCTTGAAACAATCCATTTACTCCAAAAAAATGGGAGATCTTGAGAACAATTCTCCACATCCAAGGACCGAGAAGGATGCCCTCAACAGGATCACATTCTTAACAACTGCAGGAATGTCTGTGTTGGTGTTCCAAGTATGCCTTTTAGCGGGTCCATTATACTCAAAGGATACTTCAAATCTTCAAATTGGCCTCATTGAATTTATAACCTTGATTGAAGCCTCACTATTTGCATCAGTATTTGGCTTTCTTGTCGGCTACAGACCAGTTATCCTAGTCGGTTTTTCGATTAGTACCTTATGGCCTATCGGTGCCCAGATGTCGAAAACTTACGAGTCTAATCTGCTTAAAAACATCGCCTTCATCACCAAATGGCTCTGTGTTATTGTTATTCAAGGGATGGTTTTGACAACTATACACCACTTCAAAGATCTCGGCAAACAGAAGTTCTCGATTATCGGCCTACTAGGCATAGCACTTACTTTCGGTGCTAACATGGTTGCCGTTGTTGCTGTTCCTGGCGATTGGCTTGCAATTGTGTTTGGTGTTTACTCTTTGGCAATGCTTATTCTCCTGTACTTTACCGTTCCTGATACTCCTCGCTGGCTCGAGGAAGTAAGCTTCACAAAGTTGTTGCCTCATGTTATTGGATATTTTGGAAATGCACTAGCAACATTTGTTTGGCTCCAGTACAATTCATTTTTCAAAGGCTGGCTCTTTGGCACTTTGTTTCTGGTGGCTTGTTTTGCAGCCGGCATCTACAGCTTGATTGTGCTCAATTACGGATTTCCAAATCGCTGGAAAGAAGAATTTCAGGCAAGGCGACAAACATCTGCGGAAACCTTATCGTGGTATTCCATTGAGTAGTATAGTCGTCTAGAAGTATGTATACGTTCACGTCGAATCGTCTTCACTGACTACAGTGCGACATTGCATTCGCCTCATGGCGGCCTCAACTTTGATAGAGTAATATAAAAGACAAGCTATCCATTTCGTTTCTCTTATCTCCTTTAATTTTTCATTAACCTTCTCTTGCATATCAATATCTCTTGCTAAGATCTGCAGCAACATGTCAACCTGTCAAGGTGTGCACAATACCTGTCATGATGCGGCTTCCTTAGCTAGAAACTCGCTAAAATTCGCCTATTTCCTTCACCATCATTCACTGTTTCTTTCATAAATATGAGTGACATCGAGAGCAACTTCCCCGATAATTTGCCTGGGAAGCAATCCTTCAGCCAATCAGCATTTTTGACTACCTCTACATTGTCAACGCTTGTGTTTCAAGTGTTTTTCGGAAGTGGTCCTTTATATCTGACGGATACGGGGCCCATTGCCAGAACACTCTACCAAATGCTTTCAATTATTGGATTTTCTGTCTTCAGCATTTCAATTGGATTTCTTGCGGGATATAGACTGGTTACTCTCGTCGGCTTTTTTATCATGGCATTATGGCCCCCAGTGGTACAGCTTTCAATATTGTACGACTCCAATGCGTTGAGAAACATTGGCATACTCACTCAATGGCTGCTTGATTGCGTTTTAACAGGAATGACCTGTGTGGCGCTTTATCACTTCAAACATCTTGGTAAGCGAAAACTCCTTAAATTCTGTTGGATAGAAGCGGCAGTGGGTGTCATTGCAAACATGGCAGTTCTTGCGATATTCCCAAGTAACTGGCTCCCATGGCTTTTCAGTGCTTATTGCTGGGCCATGTTGGTTCTTCTGTACTATACCGTTCCAGACACTCCTCGCTGGCTCGAGAATGTGACCTTGTTAGGATTGTTACCTCACATCACCGGCTTTGTGGGATACATGCTAAGTGCATTTGTGTGGCTTCAATATAAGGGAAAGTTTCAAAATGGGTTTTCATTTGTTTTGTTTCTGGTTGTCTGCGTTGCAGCTGGGCTTTTCAGTCTCGCCGTTCTTGGGCTAGGGTATCCACAGAACTGGAAAGAAGAGAGAAGGGCCAGGTTACTGAGGCTAGAGGAGATAAATTCCTGGTTCCGCATTGAGCAGGAAGTCAGCATTCCATAGGTGCTAGAGGATATAGACATTGAGTAATTGAAGCGTGATAGTCCATGGCCGCTTCACAATAGAGAAAGTTCACGAATCTTTTATTGCGATCGCTTAGGTCCTGAGTCTGTTCAATAGCCACTAATCTGACTTTGTATGTTTTCCAATTACGGTCAACCAGGCCAAAAGGAAAACCCTTCCTGTTGAGTCTCCGACTTGCCTATATGGAATATGGGTCCATCCACATATGCCTATTCTTACCACAATAAGCTAGGCCCAAAAAATACAGACAACTACATATTCCAACTTCTTCTTCCACATTCGTTACCTCCACGAAACATGAGCCAATTATGAACACTGTCTCTTGACTTGTCCACACCACTTCTACCACGGATCAGCCCATGTAGCACATATCCCATACTCCCCCATACTAACCCTCGAACAAACTGGCCGTGCATGTCTACATAAAATAGAAAATCCAAACAAATCCAAAATCCTCCGATCCTCCACCCCTTCAGCCTCCACACTCCCCATTGTACGCCTCTCTACACCATATCGCCCATAACCAGGGTGGTGCTTTTCCTCACACATATATACCCTGGTGCGCGGCCGGCTATATCACCACCGCTTTTTTACTCATGTTGCTACCTTATACCTTTCTTCTTCCATGTTTGCCCTTTTGATCGCCACTGGCTATTTTGTGTGGAGAGCCGGTGCTGCTGTAAAGCATCGTTTCTGTGGAAACCAGGAACGGGAGATCAACGAATCCAACGTTAACCGCAGGGGTCCTTTTAGAGATACTCCTAGCAGAGCAGGTGTGGTGAGGAAGAAGAAGAGTTTGGATAGCGAGGCCACGTTGGTTCCTGAGTCTCGGAGAAGAGCTCAGGCGTGAGTTTAAAGCTGTGTTGGTGGGATCAAGGAAGTGAGAGAATAAGCCACAGCAGAGCCACATAGAGGCATACCCAAGGGTTCCGAAGTGCTGATGCGGTTTTGGTGAGTGGGTTGATTTCTCGCGTGACCGACCAAAAGTGTGGTTTTTTCGATGACACGATATTTGTCTTCGGCCTTCCTTTCTACTATATTTCCTGCCGTTTGGGGACGCCTTCGATGGTGGTTCCCATAGTGCCGGGTTCACGACGTCATCGAGACAATGGCGTGGATCACGAGGCATGTTTCCAGGGCTACGTTGCTACAATGAGCCCCCGATAGACCTTTCGACCGACACGGTCCTTGCATTGATGATTTTATGAGATAGACGAGACGAAGCATCTCGAGACTTACTACTGGACTTGTTGCAACTGTTGCAACTGATTGCTTGACTGCTTACTGCTTACTGCTTACTAATAACCTGGGTGCAAGTTTTTGCTTGGGTGAAGTCCAAAACCAATCAAATTGAGGAGCTTGGCGCTGGTCCATACATTGCTGTTTGTCTCCTAAACCCAAATGGCAAATGTGACCGTTCCTTCACACTCGGCCTCGAGGCCTACTAATCCGCATCATATGGCATTCTCGCGGTCTGGCCAAGTGCCGTACTACCTCCGATAGCTCCTTCGAGGACAGCACAAGAACCAGAACCAATTGATTAGGATGAAACTGCTAGATGCCTGAAATTTAGCGTGACCAGTTATGTCCGAGAACTTTTGGACCCATCTCCTCGGCGGTATCGCCAGTTCTGCAATAGCCGATCCCGCTACCACTTGCTGTGCGTACACTACTGCACGGAGTCGGGCCGGGCACACCCCTCCCAGCGACTCAGAAACTCCCTGCCCCTGTTTTTTTGCTATCACTTTCATAAAACACAAAAAAATGGTTAAAGCAGGTATGTTCCAAGTGTTTTGCAGCCATCAGTCAGCCTCATCCCATCGCCCTTGCGTCTCGTCCGAGCCTTGCCTAATTTGCTCATAATATGCTCACATTGAGCATTTATTTCGACGAAACCGACAACCAAGCTTTTAGACATTGCAGGGAACATTAGCGAGGCATTGACAGGCCCGATGATAAGCCCTGAACGGCTGTTCAATTGACACCCTTTTGCATGATATACTAATACCCAGTTGCTGTTATCAGAGGAGACTCTAAGGTTTGCGGAGTTGTCAACTTCGAGCAGGAGAAGGAATCCGACCCAACCACTATTTCCTGGGACATCTCGGGCAACGACGCCAATGCTCTCAGAGGTATGCACATTCACCAGTTCGGTGACAATACCAACGGTTGTACCTCGGCTGGTCCTCACTTCAACCCATTCTCCAAGACCCACGGTGCTCCAGAGGACGACAACAGACACGTTGGTGACTTGGGTAACGTCACCACCGACGCTTCTGGTGTTGCCAAGGGTACCAAGAAGGACCTTTTGGTGAAGTTGCTCGGTCCTAACTCTGTTGTCGGCAGATCTGTTGTTGTTCACAGCGGCACTGACGACTTGGGTAAGGGCGGTAACGAGGAGTCCTTGAAGACCGGTAACGCTGGTACCAGACCTGCTTGCGGTGTCATTGGCCTCACCAACTAAGCCAGCTAGTCCATAGCGCAGTAGTTAGTCAATGAAGTTGCTTTTCAACGTTTTGTAGATGCTATAAGGAAGATGGAACCACCTGAAGGGGTTTAGTAATGCAATTGACTCTACATTGTAAGAATTGAGCGAATCATGGTACCATAGATTGGAAACGAACGGATCGACTAGAATCATGATCAACGTCACAACTGCCATTCACGGTCAACGACGTTAAAATTGCCTAGAAGAGAATCAAGAGGTCTATCAATTGTGGTCACATTTTGTAAAAAGCCAGAGTGAATTGCCAGTATGACCATCACCTTCAGCGTCATCCCATGATATCCAACCACAACGTTGCCCCAACCTATTTGAATTGCAGTTTCCTGATTCAAGCACCTATAGATGACCAATTGATACTAAATGATCCAAATGGGGTCCTTGTAGCTGTAGTAGGTGACGAAAACGTGCATCTAGACCAACGGTGTGCACTAGTTTCGACCCTGGGAAGCACCTGAATGACCCAATGTCACTTTTTGCAATTTGTATTTCAAAATCAGGAAAGATTAACGGTTCCTTTGAGTCCTTTCTTCGTAAATCGATGACCATTTCGACCTAATTGTGGGTATTCCAACCCAAAAACATGATCGTGAGACACTGCCTCCGTAGTTAACGCCAAATAATATCGATTTCTGGCTCTGATTCAGTCAATTCCAAGGAATGAACCCTCCAAAGCACAGCCCACTTGAACTCGACCGTCGTCTATAAATAAGGGTGCTTTTTCTCTCTCAAACACCACCCCCATTCGAGTCTCAGACCTACTCCTACATTGTCGATATCCATAAGGAAGTCCGATGAAGGTCCCAAGAAAGCTTATCTAGTAGAGTCTGTCTCGGGTGGGGGTGCTGGTAAAGCATTCAGTACATGTCTTGTTTAGCCAGCCAGCCAGAAATGTGGATGCCTCCTTCAGTCAAAAAGACAATAGACTTCTTGCTGTTGATTTTCGACAAGAGTTTTCGGAAAAAAAGCACGGACGTGCTTTATCAAAATTGCTTGAAGAAGGGGAAGTCGGACGGCACTTTTCATAGAGTGTGCCCAATGACGCCAAAACTGGCATGGAGAAATCAATAGATTGGTTTCTCAATTTCTCCAGAAAGGGAATGGTGCTGCTACGCTTGAGGAAGGGGAAGTCCTCCTGTGTTTCAGCCCATTCAGCGGATTATCCTTCTGCTAACTTACATCTTTCTGGTCCGTGGTAGGGGAGGGGAAGCCCCGATCCACCTGCCTTAAGTTGCAAACAAGCTTAAGGAAAAAACGCCCTCAAACGAAAAAATGGGGCTTTTTCTGGAGACATGTCGGCTACGATGACTTGTTTCCTCCTCTGGCTACGAAGAGCTCGAGCACTGGATGTTCGGGAGCCACGAGGAAAAACGGATTCTGTTCGTTGGAGTTTCTGATTGGCCGGTCTGGGGAGACCCGGTCGTCATGGATTTCTTCGGACATTTCCACAATTCACCTGATGGCGCCAGCTTTTTTTTTCAAAGCTCTTGGCTCTACGTTTTAATTAATTGTGGACTTTCAAAAATCACAGCCGGGCCCAAATCGGCCCGCTAGACAAACGGCGGAACGAGAACCACTGCCGTATATTACCGAAACCGGTGCAACATGATCTGTGGTGGGTCAGCACCAAACTGCCGTAGCATAGGGCAACCCTCATGAAGCTGTGGGGGAAGAACATGCCTTTTTGAAGAAGCGACCGGTTTCACAGCTGACGGTTGGTGTGAAAACTTCTTTTTTTCTTTTTTAGGCAGAAAGAAAAAAAACCATTCAGTGTCTGTGGTGGACATCCCGGCTGAACAAGAACACTTGAGGATTTTGGCACCCTTTGGATGCAGCCCTTGACCTGGGGACACAGAACACCTGTGTAATTGCACCAAAATCATGACTTCTGGAAGAAAATGACCTCCATGCTGGTCACACATTTTTTGAAAAAACCAGGTCGATATGTCACAGCCTAGCCTGGCAGCATTTGGCTGCGAAATTTCGCCAATGCATGGGGTCTTATCTTGCAGATGAAAAGTCGCAAATCAAGTCCCGAATCCCAAGATGGATACTTTCCAAACGTCACTCCTTTTTACCCATTAACCCGAAACTCGCCGTTCCTTAAATTTCACTTCGTTTTTGGATCTTTTTTTATTCGGTGGGCCACTTGTACATAGGCGGACGCCACGGCCCATTCGACTTTTTTGGCTTGTACATAGGATGCTTATAGACTACTTATACATAGCTCGCTTCGGCGGGACCCCCACCCCAAAATATATAAAAAAAAAAAAAATGCTTTTGTAGAGGATACTTAGATCGAGAAAGGAAATTGGAGGAGCTGCCATGACCGTATTACTCTTCGCTGTCCTGCAATCAATTGAACATCAAATTACGATTACGAGTGTCCTTTGAGGTTTGATACGATTTGAGTATCATCTTAGAAGAGACATAATTTCTTGCGCCATTCTCTGCGACTTCAATTCGTAACCTTTTGTATAATTGATATTATATGCTCAAGTCGTTGCCAACTCGTTGCTCTTCAAATGGACTTGAATGCTTGAATTAGTGCATGCATTACTTGGGGAGATACCAAACCTGGTCGGGACACTGGGTGTTTCCAAGCGAGTCAATTGGCTTGTACTCACCGGTAAGCACATTGCCCTTGACATGGTAGTAGTACCAGATTTCAGAAAGTTTCCCATCTCTGCAGCCAACGTAAACCTTACTGTCGTCGTGACCAGCAGCCAAAGCAGCCTCGATGTCCAGCAAGGCGTACGAGCGGTCAGAGCTGGGGGTGATACCGGCATTCTCAAGGAAAGTGTAGGTGGGCAAGGTCTCCCACAACTCGACAGTCTTCTGGTAGTACGCAATGGCATTTTCGTGTCTTTTGTAGTCGCCAGAAAAGCACTCAGGACGAAGAGTGTTGAAACACGTGCCGTGCTTGTTGTACTCGTGCTCCCAAAGCAGCTGAGAGCCGCTCTCCACATTTGAGTTCTGCGTATTGATCCAGTAGTTCGACATCACATTGTACAAGTCCTGGCGACCAAACTGGTTCACAATGATGTCTTCAAGGCTCTCGGAGTCGGAGATCTCGAGCTCCGGTCTGCAATACTGGTTGTACGAGCCGTCACACAAGTCGTCCCAAAGACCGTGGATGGTGAAGACGTTCTCGACGCCCTCGCTTTTGGAACCCGTATTGTAGTCCCAGAATTGGGTTTGCATAATCACACCAAAGTCCTCGTAGCAGCAGGATTCCTGGGAAACACTTCCCGGAGCCGTGCACGAGAAGTAGTTGGCTTCATTGACACCAGAACACGATTCGACTCTGTGGTCCTTGTGTTCCAAGCTAGAGACTAGTCTAGGCTTGCAGACACAGCCAGCAGGGGCTGCTGCTGCTAAGGTAGCGAGCGTAAGGAGGCTAAGCATTTGCTGAATTAAAAGCCGACCTGCTGGGGCCTTTTATAGATTGGGTGCAAATCGAAGCAGACGGGCATACAAGCACGCACGTGTATGTCAACAGACGGAATCGGTGTAGCCGAGGCACGTGGAGATAACAGGTTCGGGAGGTTTGAGGTTCCTGGCCAATCGGCACTTGCTTCTTTGAGTGAGCTGCAATTAGGGTCAGGGCTTAGGCAGGGCCGCTTAGTGGAACGGCTGCGAACGCAATTGTAATAGACAAGTTGAACCGGGTGGACGGCACTATTATATGAAATTTTGGTGTGTTTGCTGGGGAAGGGGTCATTAGACATCCGGTTCTGTCTGATTTTGCGTTGTATCTTGGTTGGATCGTGCATCAGCTGCGCATGGCTGCAACCGATAGCGTTGATAAATATGCAAGGCCAGTGAGGCATCAACGCCGTGATCATGTAATACCTCTTATTCAGTTTTAAGGAAAATGATTCTTGGGTTGTCGCCCTAGCTCTTTAATCAAGAAGAAGGCCTCCTCGCCGTGCCGTTGCACAACTTCTTACTGCCCTCCCAGACTGCTATCTCCACAGATTTCTCGCCATTCTCCATACTGATCCTCAATGGCCGGTCCACATAGCACGGTTCGCTCATACGGTATGAAAACAGCTCAATTACTGCTTTCGGATACCTCAGCGCAAGGTAATGTAGCATGATGTTCACGAGCATTGGTCCCAGCACAATGACATCGGAGAGACCCTCGGAGAGGCAATAGTCACGGTTGTAGTGGATCTTGTGAAGGTTGTACTGGAGGGCGCTAAATCGGGACACCTGAGAAGCCGATATTGTGAGTTCTGTTGAGGCATCGGGGTCGGGTTCTTTGGAAGCAACAGGTGAGCTGGTTTCAATATTTTCACTGGTTTCAGAGTTCGGCTTTTCCGAGACATCGGCCCTCCATTTGTATACCAACGACCGGAGCTCGCTGACTATCACGTCTCCAGTTCTTTCATTGCCGACTTTGACGGATCCACCTTCAACTTCACTATCGAAATCCAACTTCCTTGTTTCTCGCAGAACAGCCACAAACACCGAGTCACCGACTCTTCTGACCAGCTGGACGCGTTCAACGCATCGTAGGCTTTCCCCGATCCTTGGTGTGTTCCAGAACTTCAAGCTTCCTGAAACCCACATTCTCCGGTCAAAGAGCTGCTTTCCGTTCTCCTGTGGCGCCTGGTAATTGTCATATCCGTCCAGTCCCAAAGACGCGTTTGTCTGATTGTTGAAAAGGAGACTCGTTCCGTAGAGTGTCCATGTTTTGGAAGGAATGATTTCGTTGAGAAGGGTTCGGAGGTGCTTAAGCTGCCCTAGAGAAACCGTGTCGTCCCAAGTCCATCTAGCGTTTTTGATCTGGGACGTCCATCGAGCCAATGACATGAAGGGATGTGTGGATTAGGTTTTGTCTTGTGTCTCTTGGAGAGGCGATTGTGTGGGTTTGATGGATCTGATGAAGTACGATGGAGGTGGTATTTGGTGTATCGCGAATTGGGTGCAAAACCTGGGGTAGAGAGGGAATTGGGGGAAGGGAAATTTGATGGTGGATGTATATTTTGACGGGATGAATGCAATTGTAGACTACTGATTCTGTTGGTTTCATTTTTTATGATTTAAGGAATCGAAAAAGTTGCATGTTTGGCGTTTCGGTGGTGGTGTTGGTGAGAATAGCTGAAGATCACACAACAAATGCAAAATGTGAATACCACCATTTAGGAAGTGATTCCACGAGGAAGTAGTTCTGAAAAAGGCCAGGTCTTGCAGCCTTAGTAATGAGGCCTTTTTTGGATCAGCTGAAAAATAGAAAGAAAAAAGAGGGCCCTTTAGGCTTGTATTATGCGGGTTGCAGTACCAGTGCATCATGATCAAAGAACCCCAGCAATACCATGAGCTCCATATGAGCTCAATTTCACAGCCTTAAAATCCTTTCAAACCGACAATGAATTTTTCTTCCCTTCTTAGTTTCATCACCAATTTCATCGTTTTGCATGATCACCACTTCCATCTCTTCGCAGCCATACCACAACTCCACCACACACCAATATTCGCCACCACCAAAAAACAAAAAAAACCATACACACCCCGACAATTCCATACTAGACAAAAAGATACACCTAAACCACCACCAAATCAAAAACATCACACATCCAATCCATCAACTTACGGTGGCCACCTCCATACAGTACCCAGACATCAAGCTCACTCTTCAGTTCCAACCACTTTTCCTATGGCCACTGTCTCTGGCGCTTGCGTCATTTCCAAGGTCTCTGGCTTGGTCCAGATCCGCGAGGATACCGCCCCGTCCAAGCTTATGTGGAAGGCAATCGACCAGGATAAGTCGTTGGAGATTCCACTCAATGCTCTATCGAAACTCCAGACCACCCCAGACTCGTCTCCCAAGATGGTGCTCAAGTTATTTTATTCTGAGCCGCCAAGCACGGATATCAAGGACATCAAACTCAGCTTCAATAACCGCCAGACCATGACGTCGGTGAAGGACGCTCTCCAAACGATCATTGCTCGTCAGAAGACCATCATCAAGGACAGTCCTGCTCAGTCGGAAAGAAGCACAGCGACGGCATCTCCTGGTCCAGGGGAAAAAGACGGCACTCCGGAAGGCACGCCTCAACCAGGAAACCCGTTGGACTTCTCCAGCCCGAAATCGCTCTCTGATACGAGTCTTCTTAAGAACCACAAGCTCCAGCAGAAACTCTTGCTTGAGGACAAGAACTTGCGGAATGTTTTCACGCAGTCGGTGATCAAGTTCAAGCTTTCGCCTATGATGTTCTGGTCGAGCCGAATTGGTCAGCTACGAACCTGTGCTTTACAGATATCTCAACACAGAGGACCCTACAATGTGCTTTCCACCATTAAGCCGGTGGCAACGTCCGATAACCAGGTGAACGTCAACGTCACGCGTGTGACGATTAATGAGATTTTCGAGACGTATCCGGTGATCAAACGGGCTTTTGACGAGCTTGTACCTGCTAAGCTCAACGAGGGTGAGTTCTGGTCACGATTCTTCAACTCCAAGTTGTTCAGGCGTCTTCGAGGCGACCGTATCAATACTCTGAACACTCGAGGGGATGTCGTGATTGACAAGTATTTGGATGAGGATACTGGCGAAGAGCCCTCGAAGAAGCAGAAAACCGACAAGATCAACACGAAGGAGAACTACCAGGTGAACAAGTTTCTTGATCTTTTCGGCAACGAGGAGGACAATTCGCAAAAGCTTGGTCTTCTGCCTGATTTCACCATGAAGTTTTCTGACGAGAATGCCGACGGAAACGACTCCGGAGTAGGCGGTGGACAGAAGCCAAAGAGGGAGAACGAAATGGTCATTTTGATGAAGAACATGAACAAGCTTTCGAGCAAAATGGTCGATATGAACTCCCTGGGCAAGCAGCATGAAGAAACGGCAGATGAAGAGGTGAAGGAGCATGAGCGAGAGCTCGATTTGAATGATTTGAACGAGGCCGAAGACATCCAGTTTCTTCAGCTTCATCTCGAGACCGATAGAGCCCGCAGAAGTCTCGAGGAGCAGAGAAACGAGACCGAGCAGGAAGAGAAGGTTGAAGTTGGCGACCTAGGGCTGTTGTTGACAACCAATGAATTCCACTCTTCAGCAAGCGGAAACGATCTTAGTGAAGTCTACAAATCCAAGACCAGCGATATATCGAAAGCTGCTACTGACATCACGGCACTCGTGAAATACAACTTCAGGACGTTCAAGTCGGTCAACAACCTCAAGGAGGTGAATATCCCAACTGGAGAGAATCTACTTCCTAACGACGTTGTCCAGGAACTTCTCACGTACAACGTCACGATTGTGGAATTTTTGCTGCATTTTTGGAACCTTTTCTTGAATTCCGGCAATCCCAGCCAGCTCAAGAAGCTCTTCTCGAATTTGCGTTCTTGCCAGAGCGCTCTTGATGCGCTTGAGCTGAAAATCACCACCATCATCAAGGAAAGCCCCCACACAAAAGACAACGAGAAGCTTCAACAGAAGTTGATGAAGGATCTTGAAAATTGCATACAGCCGCTCAAGAGCAGCACCCAAAAGGCATGCACAGACTACATAGCTGCGGTGAAGGCTTCACAGAAGGAGGCAGCCGAGGGCAAAAACGACAACGGCAAGCGTGCCCTTGAGGCCTAAGCACTGAAACTTTTGAATTTTCTTAAGCCTTCATTCATTTGAATCTTTTTTAATTTGCCTAACTGTCGTCTATACTATGGGGGAGGGTTGGCTGCGAAAGCCAGTACACAGTATTGTGGTGATGCGAAGGGCATCGCGAAAGATTGGAAAGAAACCTACCACCAAATCAGCATGAGTGAACAGGAGACCACGGCCGAGACATTGAAAAAAATAAAAAACAAGCACCGTAGGCAGAAGGTGTTTGCGGCCATCCAGCATGAGCGTGCCAAAGAGAGACATAAAGCACGTGCTGCCAGAGCCAAAGAGGAAAGAGAGAACCCCCAGTTGAAGGAAGAAAGATTGGCAGCCAATGTTCCTGAGACTATCGAGTCCAAGCGTGTTTACGACGAGACGATTTCAGCCGAGTTGGAAGGTGAAGACGAGTTTTCTGAGCTTTTTGACAGAACCCAGAAAGACCCCAAGGTGTTGATCACCACCAACGCTGGTGCCAGAAAAGCAGCCTACGAGTTTGCCGACATGATGATGGACTTTGTGCCCAACGCTACTTTCATCAAGAGAAAGAAGGAGTACCTGATGAAGGAGATGGCTGAGTTCTGCTCCAACAGAGAGTACACCGACCTTCTTGTGATCAACGAAGATAAGAAGAAGGTCAACGGCATCACATTTATCCACCTTCCCGAGGGACCCACGTTCTACTTTTCCGTGTCGTCTTTGGTGGAATCCAAGGGCATCCGAGGCCACGGTAAGGCCACCACGCATATTCCAGAGCTCATCTTGAACAATTTCAACACTCGTCTAGGTAAGACGGTGGGCAGATTGTTCCAGGCGATTTTCCCCAAACAGCCCGAGATTCAGGGCAGACAAGTCATCACGTTGCATAATCAGAGAGACTACATCTTCTTCAGAAGACACCGTTACTTGTTCAAGGAAAACGAGAGGGTGGGTCTCCAAGAGCTAGGGCCTCAGTTCACATTGAAGCTCAGGAGATTGCAAAAGGGCATCAAAGAGGAGATCGAGTGGGAGTTCAAGGCCGACATGGAGAAAGACAAGAGAAAGTTCTATCTTTAGGTGGAGATGGCAATTGTGTTGGGGCACGGTGGTTGATTTTTCAATTAGGGGACTTGCTTCATTGTGCAGATTTGGCAGTATTTTTTCACTCACAGTATGCAATTGGTCAAAGGAGGCTTAGAAATGTGAAATTGAGTGGTGACCATGGCCTGGGTTTTGCAATTGTGGAAACTACAGCATCAGCAAAAGTTGCCCCGAAAAAATGCTCGTTCGGTCATGTCTCAAACAAAGAGCTCTGGAGTTGCATGGTTTGTTTGCCGAGAAAAACCCGTGCCTCCTTCACCATCCCGCGAGGCGTGTAAGTGACCTAGAAGCAGTTCATCAAAAAGAACCATTGAGTCGAGAAAGCAAGGTCCACACCGCCCGTGTCTTTTTTAGAATAGCACATATAGGTATATTATATTTTTGGCGATCGCTATTCAAAGGATCCATCCTTCTTCAACGTGTTTTTTCTGTACAGGGCCTAGCAATTCAGGTACACAGACCGATCATCAGATAAGAAGCAAAAGCACCTCGAGACTCGATCCCAAAACAATCGCCAGATCCCTTTTTTACAATGACAATGGACTCTTCTGGCGTCAAGCAAATCGTTCTGGCGTTAGAAGCGATCCATGAACCGCGACTGACCAATGCACAACGAAGAGAAGCTCAAGAATTCTTAGAGGGTATCAAACGAAACGAGGAAGCTCCCTACTGGGGGTATCAACTCGCCTTGCCTTGTGACAGTGGCAGAAACAGCATAGTCAGGCATTTTGGCCTTTCGCTACTCCAGCACGTGGTGAGCAGCAAGTTCCATACGCTTGATCGAGCCAAGGTCCGCACATTGAGAGAGTGGATCGTCACGCTATGTAGCAAGACGACGGAAAACGACCCGCATTACTTGAAGGAGAAGGTTGCCTTTTTGTGGGCGTCCTTGGCCAAGCGTGTGTGGGGCAGTTGGCTCGTGAAAGGGGAAGACGTGAATGAGCGTCAAGGCGAGGTTGACGGGAAGAAGAACGATTCCAGCCAGAACCCGGCTTCCGAAGAGGACTTGGCTGACGGCTGGAGCTCTATGGACGCAGATCTATGGGCTCTTTGGAATGAGAATCCACAGTGCAGAGAGTTGTCATTGGTGATCACCAGAACGTTGTTCGAGGACATTTTCCTTTTGGACGACATTGTTGCTAACAAACGTTCGCCCATCTTGAACCAGCTTAGTGTGCTCATCGTGCATCCTTCATCGGTGCTAGATCAGATGTACGAACCCAACCCCCGGATCTCGCCCTGCAAGTACGTCTCTGAAGGCTGGTTCAGCCAATGGAGCAACTTCTTGCTCGAAGTTCTTTCCAACAACGACATTTCATCACATTCAGCCCAAGCATTCGTGCCTAAAATTCTTAGCACTTTCAAAACCTGTCTCCACTGGGTTCAGCCCTCTGTGTTGCGTGGAGAGAACGTGCTCACTACGTTAATCAACATCCTCACCGTGTCCGACGTCAAAATCAAAACTCTTGCCGTCGACTGTTTGCATATATTATTCACCAGGGCATACCCTACCCTGGAAGACTTTGAGTTCTTTGTTGGCAGCATCTTCACAGCTGAGGGTATCAAAAAACTTTCGCAATTCTATCATTCGCTTAAAGTGGATCCTGATGACATCGATGAGCAAACATATGCTTTGCTCAAGAAAACAGTGGAGATGATAGTCTCTCTAAGCGAATACCTCAACGTGCTGTTACCAGCGAAAAATAGAATTGATTGGGACAAAGCAGACGTGAGTGAGTACCTCCGTCTTATACTCACCACAACGAGTCACCCAAGCTTAATAATATCAGGGCTCTCATTGCAAATGTGGGTGACGACACTACGCTTTGACGAACTAAGCTCCAAAGAGCCTGTGGTCAATGTCTTGATGGACTTGATGGAGCTTGCAGCTAACAGAGTTTTGAACTATGAGTGGATCGGTGAGGACGATGCGTCTAAAAAGTTCTTAGAGTTTGATTTTGATCTGGCTCTGGATTCATCCTCTTTTCTTTCTAACTACAAAAAGTTCAATGAAGACATTGTTCGTATTACCGTCTGCAAAAAGCCTGAAGAAGGTCTCAAGTGGTTAGAGAGCAGGCTAGAAGCTTTCTTCTCTTCGCATTTGGGTAATGTCTGCATTAACCAGTCCAAGTTGGAAGAAAAGTCCGACCCCTTCAATTGGGGATCTGCACAATTCAACATCATTGAAAACAGCATCAGAGGTGTATCGCGTTGGCGAATTTGGTATAATGGGGAAGATTTCGAGGCAAAAAACAATAGACTCAATGGCCTCGTAGAGGACTTGGGCGAGCGTCTATTAGCTATGCAATTGGCTTCTCCGTTGCTTATCAGAAAGCAGGTACAGACGATGGTTCAATTTGCTCCTTTGCTAAAGGATGTCAGCCCCCTTATGTTCAAGGTGTTGGAAAAAATCTTGACAACAGCTACCTTTGAATATCCTCCAAATATTGATGACGAGGAGAAAGAACTCATTCGTGACTTGAGGACGAGTTGTGGTACCGAGCTTAACAGATTAGCTTACATCATGCCCGAGTCGCTCAAGAAGATTTTCTCCGAGCTCGAGAATGTGATTTCCAACATCTTGGCCTCAAACAAAGTCAGCAATCATGAGAATGTGGCGTTCAAGTCCTTCCTTTTGGTCATTGCATCTCGCTCAACTATTGAGAATAAAGATGCTCTTTTCGCCAAGATTGTGGACCCAGACTTGATGGCATGGTCTGCGCCTGAGACTGAAAAGGGTCTCTCTGACTTGCATTGGTTCATGGAAAGGCTAGGAATTGTTGAGATTGCCCAATACTTCCAGAGACGAAATATCACTGCTACTAGCAACTTACTAGAAGCTGAGATGGACGAGGAGGGCAAGGCCCTCAAAAACAAGCTCAAAGAGCACTGGCTGTCAATATTCCCTATTCGTGCTACTCGTATCTTCATTCAGTACAGCATTGAGAAGCTCAGTCATGACTCTCCGGAGTACCAAGCATTACTCAGGCTTTGGAAGCCTCGAGTCACTCCGATCATACCCCATGTCCTTCAGCTTCTTGCTCAAATTCAGGCGTATCACAACCCAGACAATTGGAAGGATCTTCCAGAGTCTGTCCAAGCTTTCTTGCGTTACAGTAAGTTGGAAAGATTCTGGCAACAAGGTGTTTCAATCCAAAGTAAAGAAATGTTCATTGAGGAGAGTGTTAAAGCTGCTTTGACCTTGAGAGATTTTGCTGACAGCGTTGGCCATCTCGTCAGATACACAAGAGAATACGCTTTTCTCACCATTGGCTCCTTGTCCCACCTTGAAGATACCCTTTATGAAATCCCGAACATCGCGACGTCTTTGTGGAACTCATTAGCCGGCGACACCGTCGGTGTTACCCTCCACAGTTGGAAACACATGATCAACAGCTGTCTCAGAAGCGTCGTGAAGAATTGTCCAGTCAAATATGTGGATGTTTTCATGGGTGAACTTCTTCCAAAAGCACTCTACGACATTGACAAATTGATCGGTGATAAATGGGAGAAAGTGTACAATACAGGCCTCCAGCTACAAGGTAATGAAGATGACGCCACCTTGAGTGAGGAGATGATGGAGGAACATATGCTTAGACAGCTTACTGCTACAGTCGTTCGCTTTTTGATGGACATCATACCTCAATTCAACGCCAAGTCCATGACCGACACCCAATTCGCTTGCAAGAGGTTGGTCACTACCAACAAGGAGGTTATGGGTGCGTTTTTGCAGATTTGCTGTCGAATTATCAGCCTCAAAGACACGAAGTGCTCTTTCAATACCATTCTTGTGGCTCGCAACATCCTACCCGGCATCGTGCTTAAGGACGATGATGTTGACAAGTATCTCTGTGATGTGTTCATGAATTCTTTATTGAAGGTTTTGCTTGATGACTATTTTGTGGAGACTCACACCGAAGCTGCGACGGCGCTTACCACCCTCTACTGTGCATTGAGATCGAAGAACGACTATCCCGCAAGAGTTCTTATGGATACTTTACCCAACATTACCTCTCTGCATGTCTCGAACTTCGAGAACCTTTTAGTCGGTTCCAGATCTTTGCGCCACCAAAGAATGGCGTTGCTTGAGTTGGTTCGTATCTCCAAGAGTGACCAGTTGGAGTCGTCTGAAGATGCCGAGTTGAAAATGAGGAAAAAGCAGCTTGAGATGGCCTCGATTACCAAGAAGAAGAAAGCCGCCGGCGATATCATGAACGACCCATTTACAGAGAATGGTGCGCTCAACAATCTTTTCGGCGAGGAATAAACTAGGTGGTGATCTGGACAATGGCTCTCTTGAGCAGAGAGTTTGGCACATTTTGTGTCTCGTGAGCCAAGGGCGACGGAAGACGCTGTGTAAACTCTTGAAGCGAGCCGCCAACGCCAAAGTAATAGGACTTTGCTGCGACAAGAGCGAGGCAGCTATTCCCGTTCATGATGTCGAGCAACAACTTTATAAATATGGGCAAAGTGTCCAAGGAATAAATGGTTTCAGAGGATAAGATCAAGTCGGTTTTGAAAGGCTTCACGAGGTCTGCAAACGATGGCCCCCAAGAGCCTGAGATGCAATGAATTTCGATTTTTTGTTTCTCGAGAGCTGCAATGAATGCTTCGCTGAGTTGTGGAGTGACTTCGACCTCGTCGTTCCTCATGGGGATATCTGGATTTTGAAGATCAGCGAGTTCTTGAGGATCAAGAGTGGAAGCCCAATGCACTATAAGATTTGGAACAGTGACCAAACGAAGAACTTCGTAGTTGAAGTCGCCAAGTAGAAGCGTCTTTTCCGACTTCTTTTGCTCTAGCCATTTCATAAGAATGAAGCAGGAAGGTAGAGCAGAGCCGCATCCTAGTTCCAAAACAGACTTTCTGTTGAACAACAACTCAGATTTTTTGGCCACGTCATCAACAAGATCATAAGAGCACTCCCACAGCTTGAAACCACCTTCATACACGTTCTTTTCAAGATCAAGCTCTTCGCCTGAACCGAGTAGGATCTTGTTGATTTCACTAGCTTCACCCTCGGTATCCTCAGTCATACACTGGTGTTTCACGTCGAAAAGCTCGCGTCTGTATACAATGTTGCCATTGGCTGTTTTGTAATTGTCAAAGGTGATTCTGACATTGAGGAGGGTCTTCAAGATGGAGCTGAGGGAGTGTATTTTTGGGGGTATCTCCACCGGTGCTTCAGATGTACTGGTGTTTTGTGGTTTGGATGTCACAGGGGTTGAATCTAGCTCATCGTCCGAGAAATCGGCCTGAGAGAATCCGAAAGAAAAGGACATATAGGGTCGTTATCGGTACTAGGGTGATGAGATGCCTGCTTAAGTAGGTGCGTGTGCAGGACATTTTGATGATTTGCATACGCCTGCTTCGACCTCGATCTGCCAGTCTATTTGGAAGGTATGGAATGAAGGAGTTTTACGATTAGACAATTTATCAATGTACTTTTATTATGAGATAACTGATGTTTGAGATTGAGTAAAGGGGTTGATGGTTCTAACACCGATGTGCAGATCCTAGACTAATGCGGCACAGGTGGGCAGGAAGCACCAATTGTACTTGAGGTATCCATACATTTCAGTGAATTTTGGAATGCTGATTTTGTTCTCATGAAAGAATATGTTATTTCTTTGTGCAGCACCGTTTCTGTTCAAAGTGCTTTTTACTACTTTTTCCTACTGACCTGGGGCTTGTTTCAACGGTGTATCAGGAAAGGTTCGAACTTGACGTACAGCCAAGCATCGTTCATGCGAATCTTACAATCAATGGTACAAAGGAATATGTAAATTAATTGAGGAATTGGCCTACCTCGGCCAATTGTGTTTCAATGTCGTTTGAAGGTTCACCACATATTATACGTTACCTTTATCGGACCAGATCGCTCATTCCATTGGAATCTGGCCCTTGATTGACTTATGCACGGGCTGCAGATGGTGTACAATATGGCTATACAAGAACCAATGTTTCTGGAAAAACTGGTATCGTTTTCGTCAGAGCTGTGTTACTGGTAACGTCATTTTTCTTCTCTGATTGCAGAAGCGGCGAAAGATTCCAATCTTGTTTGTTTAAAGCGCTATTTCCGTGAAAGCTAAAACGTTTACTTGTTGCATCCTTACACACCCATCTAGACCGTTCGAGATGTACCACAGATTTCGACTCCATCCGAATTGTGGTGTATTAAAACTTCAACCATTTATTCCAGCATTTATTGTCTTCCTAACATACGCTGACGTGTCAATTTGTTCAAATTAACCCCTGAGAGCCAAATTGGGATGGCTGCAAAAAGCTGTTTCACCTGTACGGGCAAGAGCCACCGAAGGGGCGAAACTATTTAAATCGCCCGCTTTCCGCTCCCTCTTCAATTGTGGCACAACTATCATGAATCGAAGGAATCCCAGTTCTGCAACCGATTTAAGGGGTGAGAGCAGCGGTCAAAGAGCGGCACACACGTCATCAAATCCGGTCCTCGCAAGTATGGGCGAATCGCCAAATGCCGTCGAACCGGAAGGGAATAGATCATCAGGAATGGGGTCCAACAATCCACCCATTTCGCCTACTGGGGGCAGGCAATCCCCCGAAATGTTACTCGCTGCTGATGTTGAGTTTAGCAGACGATACAGTTTAGCCGTCTTTAAAAAAAGAAGACAAAAGGAGGCTCGAAAACGGCTCCGGAAATATATCCGTGGCGTCTTAAGAAGAGAACGTGAAATGAACATCATTCTCCAGAGGTTTAGGCAAAAGGAGTTCCAACTGATGAAGACTCTTTTGCAGGATAGAGCTAACGTGTTAAAAGATTTGCTGAAGATTGATGACAACTTTGAGGGGCCAGCTGAGCAAGTTAAGAGAAGTCTTGAGAGATTTGATGAGAATGGAATGTCGATGTTAGTAGACTATTATGACGCTCAAAACCTCGACAGACAGCAAATTTTACACGAATATCGTCTTATGAGCCAACTGAGTTCACAGGCTAGACCTGACGACCAAAGTGAGGCATATAAATTTCTTATAGAAGCCTTCGGCCTCAGAAAGCTTAACATCGCCAAGTTTGCGGCTAGTGCGTTAAAGTTTACTGCCCGGTTAGATAATGTTAAAGGCTTGAGTTCAATATTCCGAAGTCAGACAGAAATGAAGAGTGTCGCTGCATTGGAAGAGATGCCGTCTTATGAAGGGTTATGGCAGAATGAAAATGATGACATCTTTTCCAAATGGTCGAAATTCATGATCTTTTTTTCATCCACTCAATATTGCACCACAAAAGTTAGGGAACTCATGAGCGAAGTTTTTGGAATTCTTTTGTACCATTCGCATGCAGAAACTTACTTTGATTCGATTATAGATTGGAACAGAAGGCCATTGCGCTTTTGGTCTCAACTTATGAGATCATTTGGAGCGTTTTTTAACGTTAAACGGCACTTGGCAGCTATCAAAAGCGGGTACATACTAAAACGCGTTCTAAACAGATTCGCGCCCCTACTCAATTGTGCCATATCCATAGGCGCCACCATCGCTCTTCGCTTCGTGCTCGACACAGGGGAAGAAGAAAACAAGGAGGGAGCCACTAAGCAAGAGGATGGACAGAAGGAAAGCACCAATGTGACTCTCCATAAGTCATTCGCAATACTGGCGTTAGGTGTTGCAGTGGTTCGAGGTGTCATCTGCTTCACAGACCTCCTTAACTTACTATACCGAGCAGCAAGAGTCTCTTTCATTGACTACAAATTGAATTCGTTGGTGGCCACCTATTTCCGCCTAGAAACAGTTCCCCCGAAATTGTGTACTGAGTTGATCATCAAAGCAGTAATGCTGTGTAATTCAGAAGGTGTCAGCAAATCAAGAATTGAAAAGCTCCTTGCGAGCGGCGAAGAGGAACAAGAGAATGACGTGGCTGCCCAAGGTTCACAAACTGGGGGCGTCAAAAGTGGAAATGATATTGTGCAAGACGTGGCTGCCATCTTCGCCCACGGTTTCGCATTAGGGGGCGTCGAAAGAAGAACTGATATTGTACTTATGCTTTTCAAAGTGCGGAGATATATGGAGCATCAAAATCAACTGTCAAAGTTGCTAGGAATTGACAAATTAATTGGTACACTTCGCGAGGGTTTGCTGAATAAGAAGAGTTCGCGTTACCCGGGGTCCTTGCTACAATCCAATTTTTTTTGTTTGGTAGTTATGTTGATCCTTTTCATCATATTATTCTTCGCCTTGCCTGCTCGTGAAACAGGCGGTGCTATTTTGAGGGAGCTTTACTCGACTTTTTTAGGAGCGACAGTGTACCTTGTTGTGCCTTTTATGAGCTCTTTTATACTGTTCATACTTTATGTACAGTGAAGTGGTTATAGTGTTGAAAAATCTAGGGAACAACAAATGGTAAGAAGAAGTAGCTTTTTTTTTTTTTTTTTTTTTTTTTTTTGCGCTGATTGTCGTTCCTAACCTTTACCCAAGAGGTAAGGAGTAGTCTTCCAATGCTCTAAGGGTTTTTATAGAGCAC